TACCGAGATATGCGTATTAATGGTTATCACCTCTCGACTGCCACTTTAAATAAAAAAGAGGTTTTGGTTCTTGTGAAGAATCATAAAGTTATTGAAAAAGCTTTTGCTATAGAAAATGATTTATACCAAATTGTGATTTGGCCTCCCATTATATTTAATTTTACATCATCTATCTCAGAGAGTCGTATTTTTCTCTAGCGTGGACGATTGGGACATCCAGGATCCACATTATTTAGAAAGATCATTCCATGTATAACTGGACATAATTTAAAGCTTGCAAATGTAGACTCTATGGAATTATGTCATGCATGCGTGCAAGGTAAAATGATTACTCAGCCTTCAATTTGGAAACTTTCACAAGAATTACCACCAATGCTTGAAAGATTGTATGGTGATATTTGTGATCCTATTAATCCAATATCATGACTATTTCATTATTTTTTGGTCCTTGTTGATGCATCAGGTAAACAATCACATGTCTGATTATTATCAACTCGAAACATGGTATTTCCCAATCTTATATCTATGCTTATTTGCTTTCAGGCATATTTTCTTGATTATCCTATAAAAAAATTGCGTATAGATAATGCAAAAGAATTTGCATCAAAGTCTTTTGAAGACTATTGTACTGCAACAGGAATCGAGTTGACATATTGTGTTCCATATGAACATGCTCAAAATGGACTTGCAGAGTCATTTATAAAGCGTATACAATTCATTATGCGGCCACTCCTCCTTCATGCAAATCTACCAGCATCTATTTGGGGTCATGCAGTTTTACATACTACAGCATTAATACGCCTCCACCCTTCTTCTCTTGAAATTGTTTCACCACATGAGCTCATTTCAAGTTGTGTTCCAAATGTATCTCATTTACGATTATTTGGTTGTTGTACTTGGATTCCAGTACCAAAACCTCAACGGCATACCATTGGAGCTCATCGACAAGAAGGCATATATGTTGGTTTTGATTCATCAAACATTATTCGTATTGTTGATCTATCAATTGGCACATTATTACGTGCATGTTTGCAAAATTATCGTTTTGAAGAAACTGTATTTCCATCTCTTCAAGGAGGAGTATCCAATCAACAAAGAAATAAAGTATTCATATTTGAAGCACCATAAACGTTTACAATGAATCCTGATCCTAGGACATCTTTGGCAGAAACTGAAGTTGCTAAGATTTTGCATTTAAAATGGATCCCGGATGAAACACCTGATGGCTTCAATGATGCACCTAGAATTATAAGAGTTCCTATTAATGAGGCTCAGAATGCACCTGCTCAGATTGCAATGCCATTGATTACAATACCTCAAGTTATAATAACAACAACTAAAAGAATTCGTGGACCAGATAAGCAACCATGTAAGAAGAAAGCTATAAAATTAACTAATCCTGGTATTATTTCTCAAGAAATTGCCACTCATCTTGCAGGACTACCAATTCATGATGATATATCCATGCATAATGTACCTTCAATTCCTATGAAAAAAAATCTTGGAATTGGAAGGAATAAGAACAAGTTGACTAAAGAATTATCTATTCTGTATTGTGCTACAGATGATATTTGGGACAGACCATCTATTATGGTAGATGAATCATTTACATATATGATTATAGAAGCCTTTTCTTGTGAGGAAGACGATCTCAAACCTCAAACCATCAAAGAGGCGATGCGTCGCTTTGATTGATCAAAATGAAAAACTACTATTAAGGAGGAGTATGCCTCTTTGCGTAAGAGAAAAGTCTTTGGTCCAATTGTAGACACTCTTACATCTCGCCCTATGGAATATAAAATGGTATTAATACCCAAGCGAGATGCTCAAGGCCAAATAACCTACTATAAAGCTCGTCTTGTTGCTCAAGGATTTACTCAACGATTTGGCATTGATTATGAATCCACATATTCTCCAATCATGGATTTAATTACATTTCGATATATTATTGGAATGACAGTTCATGCCACCCTTGAGATGCATCTCATGGATGTAGTTACTGCATATCTATATGGTTCTCTTGATGCAAATATTTATATGAAAGTTCCACCTTGCTTAGAAATAGGAACTCCAAATCAACCCGCTCCAAGAAAATATCGTGGTATTAAATTATATAAGGCCTTGTATGGTTTAAAACAATCCGGACGAATGTGGCATCAACGTCTTTGAAATTATTTAATTACAAATAATTTTATAAGTGATCCACTAATCCCTTGTTTGTTTATCAAACGAGCTAAAATGGTTTTGTAATCATTGCTGTATATGTTGATGATCTTAACCTAGTGGGCACTACATCTACATGTGTTACAGCTAAAAACCTACTTATACGTGAATTTGAGATGAAAATGCTAGGAAAAACAACTTTCTGCATTGGTCTTCAGATTATGCATCTTACAGATGGTAGTATTTTTCTCTACCAACTAACGTATATTAGACGAATTTTGCAAAGATTTAATATGATTGATGCTTATCCATTGTCCACACCAATGGTTAGACGTGGTCGTGATGGTCATGATCCATATCGTCCATGCAAGGAGGAGGAGGAAATATTGGGAGACCAATATCCATACCTTACAGCGGTTGGAGGACTTTTGTATTTAGCTACATCTACAAGACCAGATATTGCATTTGCAGTTAGTGTTCTTGCAAGATATAGTGTACGTCCAACACTGCGATATTGGAATGGCATCAAACATTTATTACATTATTTAAAAGATACTGAAGACTTGAGATTATATTACACAAAATGTGCACATCCAAAATTGGTTGGATATTGTGATGCAAGATATAACTCTGATATTCCAGCAACTAAATCCCAAACAGGATATGTATTTTTAAGACATGGAGATGCAATATCATGGAAATCAATAAAACAAACAATAACTGCAATTTCATCCAACCATGCAAAAATTATTGCCTTACATGAAGCATCTCGAGAATGTATTTGGTTGGGATCAATTGATAAATTCATTCAAACAACCTGTGGATTTTCATATGATGATTCTCCAACTATCTTGCATGAAGATAATAGTGCTTGCATTGCACAGATGCAAGTTGGTTTCATTAAAGGCGACAGGACAAAGCATATTGATCCAAAGTATTTTACTTATACTCATGACTTGATTACTGATCAAGTACTTATAATTAAGAAAATTGAATCTACAAATAACCTTGCTGATCTCTTCACCAAAGCTCTCCCATTAAGCAACCATCGTCGACTTACTTATGGCATTGGTATACGGCGACTTGCTTTTCTTGAATAAGAAAGTTAATGAGCTCTTTAAATAATTAAAGAAAATGATGTTATACTCTTTTTCCTTCATCTCTGGTTTTGTCCTTAAATAAAATAAAGTTTTCTTGGATAAGGTTTTAATGAGGCAACAATTCTTGATCTTGCAAGATCAGAAAAAAGTATAGATCATAATTCTATACAAATTTTATATTATGTAAATATTATGATGAGCGAGGAGGAGTGTTGAGATCATTAAATGTAGCCGACGCTCTCCATAATATTTATTGTAGACTAGAGTAATTACCATAGTTACAATATTTAGAGTCTAGTGCAGAAGTACTGTTTATCCTCTCCTCTTTTCTCTTCTTGTATACGAGATACAACCAAATCAATAGATTTGTGTGTGTGAAGCTCTCTCTCCTTAGAAACCCTCTTGTGTGTATGACTTACTACTACTCTTGTGTGTGTATGACTTACTACTACTCTTGTATATGTATGACTTACTACTACTCTTGTGTGTGTATATGACTTCTATTACTCTTATGTCTTTCTAAACATTCTCAATAGATACTTCATTGATCAATTTTTGGATCTCAGTATTTGAAATGTAAATTATTTTATTCATATCCATGCAATATCTTAAGTATTATTATAGTATAGTATGTTTTTATAATCATTTGGTTAGAAAGTATTTTCACATTGATTGATAGAGAATGTTAAACAAACCAAAGTTTTTACTAAATGGACCCATCCATCTTATCCATAATAAAACAAAAAAAAATAGAAGATAAATAACAACAATATATTCAATTTAACATTCCCTTGATTGATTATTTGATCCTAAATCCTTTTCATTGTGGATTTTCAATGTGCACGTTTTTTTTCTCACACATTGGTGATCTGAAGCCTTATTCTTAGTGTATGTGACAGTCCAGTTGAGCAAACACAAAAGCAAATTAAGTGTAGAAATAGAGGGTATTCAAGTCACAGTCACCGGCCTCCCTTGTTCAACCCACGCCATTTTTTGAAATCCTTACCCTCAAAATTCCAACATGTATTTACCAAGATCACAACAGGAACAAGGAAGACCTCAACAGAAAGGAATCTTCCTAAAAAAGAATAAACCAGTAAGATAACGCCACGTATGCATGAGAAGGGACGGATATAGGTAACGAAAGAGACGGCAATAGGCGCAGATATAGATGCGGGGAAGTGCGGAGATGCGTGGGCCCGTCACCGTGCCCAAAGGGGACCTATCACCGCAAGGGTGCAAAGGGGATGATGCCTTGGTAGCATGAGTGAGGAGGAGGGAAGGGAAGGGGCCGGGTGTTGGGGGGGGGGGGGGGGCTTAGAACGATATTCAACTTACTACGAACAAAAATCGACATTCCGCAAACCAAAATTTGTTTTTATTCCGAGGTCGCATGAAGAAGACTATTATGCGAGGCAGCCTGCGTGGTGGCGATGATGCGGTGGTTCACGGTTTGATTCCAATGATCATCACGACAGGGAAGAATGTGCCGCCTGAGTGTGCACGTGAGCGGAATCATGGCGATGATGGTGACGAAAATATTGTAGTAGTAGTAGTAGGGCAATCGGAGGAGGAGCAGTTTGGTTGGTATGAAGAGGAGGATGGTGAGGAGAAGCGATTAGGGTTTGCGGGAGAGGAGAGAGGGCGTGGGGAAGAGTGGCGATGGAGGTGAGAGAAGGGAGGGTGGCAGCAGCAGCAGCAGAAGAAGAAGACAATTGGAGAAGACGACGACGTGGAGGAAGAGGAGGAGGAGTGACGAGGAGTAGGGTCAATGGTGGCGGAGGGCGACGGTGGTGATTGTGGTGCGGAGTTTCGGTGGCTGCAAGAAGGGGAGGACGAGGAAGTCGCGATGGCGATGGTGTCTGTGCCGGGGGCGGCTGGGGATGGGGCTCCCGGCGCGGCCAATAACGGGGGGAAGTTGTTGAGCAGGAAGCGGAATTTGAAAGTTCCTAGGGTTTCTGGAGAACCAACTTTGAAGAGCTTGCAAGTGCAGGTGAAGCGGTTGGAGCAGCAGCGGGAGTTTCTCAGTCTGCTTAGGCCGGTATTGGCGTCGGATGTGCCGGATGTTGGCGCTGCGTACGCGGACGTGGAACTCCAGGCTTGTGACGGCTCCCCTGTCTACGCACACAAAGCCGTGCTGGTCAGCTTTTAAACCTATTCTTGAAGCCAGGGGCTTGAGATGATAGTGAGGTTTCAGAGCTTACGGGACCCAGGGGATTCTTGCAGAGATTTTCTGAGGATTGGGATATCGATAACGTCAGAATGCTGTTCAATTCCGTTTTGACACAATTCGGGGGTTTTTGTAGCTAGTGGAAGGCCTTCTACTCCTTTGTTACCCAGGTCGCAACAGTGTTTGTGATTGAAAGAGGCCTTTTGCCTGCTACAGCATTGGGATTATTGCCCGAATGGCTTCAGTATTGCTTGCGTGCAAAACAAGGCCGTGGTGCTTACATGCAGTAATGGAGTGTTGACTCCAGATTTTCTAAATAGATGGTTGCTTTTAAATTTGCAGGCCGTAAAATCAAAAGAGTTTCATGAGGCTTTCCGTGCTAATGCGGACGTGAAGGTTATAGAGGTTTCGGAGATGACCCCCCAAGAGCTAAAAGTTTTCGTAACTTTTCTTTACACTGGAACTATAAGCAATAATATCAGTTTGGAGTGTATGCCGACCTTCTTTCGCGCGGCAGAAAAATATAAGGTTCAGTTCCTGGCTGAAGTTTGCGAGGATACCTTGGTTTCGAATCTTTCAAGACAGAATGCTATATCAACTTTCGATATTGTTAAAAAGCATTGTTCGAGTGCTGTTAGAGAATCTGTGCTGGTGAAAGCTATGAAGATGGGAGAAATATCAACTTACGATGAATACAAGCATTACACTCAAAAAGATCCTGGTTTATTGTTAGAGTTGTATGAGCTGCTGTCAGAGCGCATAGGACCGTTACTTGCCAAAAGACGGCGGATTTCTACAGGTAAAACTCATGGGCAGCGTTACTTTTGTATTCTTGTAAGACAATTTTTTGATATCATCTTTTGTGTGGATCAACGTTGATACTAGTGTGTTCGTGCAATCGTAGGGTTAAGTGGCGAAGCCAGTCTGTATATTCAAGCTGACTTGGATGCTTGTTCTGATGTCATTTTTGGATTTCATTGTCCTGGAATAGATATTGGTGGGGCGTTTGGTCGTGATAGTCGTGGTTTTTCTCCTCTTTCCAGACATTGGGACCAGCGAGCAGGACGGAGTGAACAATGCTTTCATTCTATATGACGGATGCGACGGCAAATCTGACAGCGATGATGAGAGCAGTGAAGACCACTTACGAGCAGATGAAAGAGAGATGAAGCCTGAAAACGAGATTGCATCTGGTAAATTTATCCTAATGACCCGTTTCTCTATACTACTTGTGAGCAAGTATTTCGATCTGAAAAATGATTCAGCTTCTCTGGTTCATTCGACGTCAAGCCTGGGTGAGAGATAATTAAGGTTTGTTTCTCATATCTGCAGCACTGCATGGAGGTACTTTTTAAAGGTCACGTCCAATTTTGTTAGGTCTAATCATGGAGCGTGATGATTATGAGGGGGATGCATTGCCCTGATATGAGTGGTTCGATTGTGATGTTATTTCTTGATGTAATGCAGGAGCAGTGATGCTGCTTAATGGATCTTCTCGTGATGGCGGCAACGGTTGCAGCAGCGCTGGAGGCGGTGTATTCTGGCAAGGGGGACAACCCATACCTCCTCAACATGGTAGAACGTACTCTGCCGGGTACGATAGGGCACCAGGTCCCAGGCCCACCTATGACGGCCAAATGATGTCTCCTGCCTATGTGGTTCCTCCGTATTTGTCCCCAATGCACATGGGTGGTTCTCTTCCAAGGTGAGTAGTTTGTGCTTTGAAGCAACATCCGACTTGTTCTTATTAACAAAGTCGTTAAGATTCCTGTTGTTGTTAAGTATACGTAAGATCATTTTCTGTGCGTTTGTTTTGTACATTGTTCGTTTTTCGACTAGGGGTAATTTTGGGATATTTTCAGACTGCCCAAATGATTATGTCCACGTTATAAATGGTAGTCAGTGTCTCAATCGCACATTATCGACAACTTGCACTTAATGTCTGCAACCCCAATTGCTACTTAGGCCTAATGTGAAGGTGACATCAGTTACCGAAGTCTTACAAGCAACAGAGGAACCTCATTGTAATTTTTAATTTGTAATTTGTTTTTTTACCTACCATCTCTGTTCGATAAAGGTATAATTACAAAAGAGGTGGTAGGGCTATTAACATTTTTCGATTACGGTCATCACAGGATAAGTGCCAATTGGGTGGGCGACGATAAATACCATAAATAGTGTACTTTGTAAATTGAATCAGTTCGATTTCCTCTTCTCTTTTCTTTAAAAACATACTTCTTACATTCATCTTCTTTTTCTCTCTCTCTCCCCCCAGAGGTGGCTTTGTTGGAGCTGGCGCTCAAGGAGCACTGGGGATGATGGAACGACCTGTTGGTGGGGACGAGCTTATGGTTCAGGATACAAGGGGAAAGAAGCTTCCAGTAGAGGCTCAAACGAAGATTGAGGGGCGACGTGGTCAGAACTGGACCAACTGTGAAGTGGAGGCTTTGATTGCTTTGAGGGGTGAAATGCACGAAGAGTTTGAAAGAAACAAGCAAAAACAGGGTATGCTTACATACTTTACCACTGTATTTTGTACAGTCTCTCTTGCTACTCGCTATGAGTTGCGATGTGTCGGATTTTTAGTGCTATAGAATGTTATTGATATGGTTAGGTAATATAAGATCATTGCTGCTTTTGGAGTAGGTACCAAGGCCGCTGATCCTTGTGTATGGTTGCAGGAGTTAATACCTGGAACAAACTTCATGCAAGAATGCTCGGTGTATGTAAAGGATTTCGGAAGAGTGCGAATGCTTGTAAGAAGAAGTACTCGATACTTTACAACGAATACAAAAAGGATAGAGAATGTGCGAAGGATATCAACAACGATGCTTTTGTTGCTGGTGGATTGCCTAGGAGCAAAAAGTGTGCATTTTTTGATCAGATGGACATGTGGTATCAAAATAGGCCAAGATTGAAGATTGATGCAAATCAAGGGGAGCATTTAGAGAGTCCATGCACGAGTGCAGACGATGTAGATCTGAAGGAAGAGTAGGATAAGAAGCTTAGAATCTAAGATGCACACAGCCACCTGGTACAAATATATTCTGAGCATGAAGCATGAGTTGGATCGTGGGTAGGAATACTTGGTACGGTTCGGTTTCAAAGTCAGACCCTGATGGGTCCACATTTCCTTTAGGTGTGCTTGATAGAAAGTCCCCTTTTGTCAGCAGAGAACTTCAGATCAAGGAATGCAGTTATTTTAGAGAAAAGACTAAGATGGATTCTTTAGGAAGGATAAGTTAATGCACAATTCTATAGTTCTGTTTGGAGTGGTACACTGCTGCCTTGGATGCAAACTGTATATTATGCTACAGTTGTACATTTCCAGTTCTTTAATCAACTCGTGTGATCTGGGAGTATTCTGCATATGGTTATGAGCTCTTCCTAGTTTTGCATGAAGAGCATGAAGTAAACCAACCAGGAACTCTACGTACAATTATATGTCATGGTTGAAACACGGGGCTTACTGACTGGTTTTCACCTACTGGTTTGCATTGATGTACTTGAGTATGATGAATCTGTTGATCTTAATTGCATGAGACAATTCGTGTTTTAGAACTTTTGTTGTCTTCCTGACAAACCAGAAGTCAGGAGGTCTCCTTCGACATGTGTAGACAGTCGTATGTAAAAACTTTTCATAATCTCTTCCACATAATTATCTTCAAACTCCATGTGTGTTCAACCTTTACAGTCATAGAATGCCGGACATTGTTCAACCTTTTCGGTAGAACATAAACCATTAGTTGCTCCGACACCTGTGCCGCATCTTGCACTTAACAAATCGAACTGACCCTGTTGCTTCCATGGCTTCCCCAGCTCCGAAGCATCACCAGACAGTCTCGTCTAAATCTCAGGATCCTTCTTCTTAACATAGTGCAGCAAATGAGAAGGATGAGGTTACAGGGTCAAGCCCAGCTCTCATTGATGAGGCACACAACCCGTGATGGGTCACGAGGGGGGGTTAATTGCAGCAAGCTTGAGCTGGATGGATTCGGGGACCCTGCAGAAAGTGCTACAGTTGATGGTAGAGTTGGGTTGGAGTTATTATTAGGTCATGAGAGGAGCTGCTGCATGATATACTCACAATCCACATTTTTCTTCCATATTTGATTCATTCGATCCTCTAATTGTGCATAAGAACTTTATGCTTCCACTGGGTCAGAGCTTGGAAGATGCAGTTCTGAAAAGTCCATAACTAAAAACGACAATATTTAGGAGAATCTCAAAGGTGTACAACAAAAGGCAATGCTTGCACATGCTAGAGAATGACTTAGATTCTGAGAACCATGAAGAGGCGGCACATAAGGACCTCTCTGGCAAGGTTCCATTTGAACTAAGGTTGAGGATTTTGGGCACTTGCTGTGAACGTGAATAAAGTTGCGGGGGTCTTTCCAACATTTCATAGCCGCTAGAACGATGCTAAGGTCGTTGAAGCTTGTCTGCTGAAGGATGACGAATTTAGGCCTCACCATGGTCCATTTATTGTTGCTAATTCCGGGGAGTTGTTAATTAAGTGAGTCATAGTGTAAATATTTCAATCCGTATTGTTGGTAAGAAGTTATAGGTTATTGAATTTAGTAGTAAATAAATACCTTGATCATACTTTTACCTTCATCAAGTGACATTATTACATGAAGGCTTTATGATTCTTAGGAAATTATCATCTAACAATGTATTATTTGTCATATCCTTGTCATTCCTTTTAATATTACATTTTAAAGGAATTTTAATTAGTTTTTTTGTTTAATTTCTAAACTAACTAATTTATAAAATTTGTTTAGTTTCTATCTCCAAAAAGAAATTAGGAGTATTTTATATCTAGAAGATACTTAGAAAAGTCATGGCTTAAAAATTCTTAATAAGTTTCTTATTTGGTAACAAAATTTTCTTTTATTTTTGGATGTAGTATACAAAGAAGAGATGTCATATAATTGATAATTTTTTATTTATTTATTTATTTTTATTGCAAGTTTGAATATATTAGTTCATAAATTGATTCTATTATGTAAAGTATAAAAAAATATGGCAGGATAGGAATTTATACCTAAAATCTACTTTAAGAATCTATGATTCAAAAGCCTTAGTAAAATCCCTTACTTGGTGAAGAAAAGTCTTCTATTAGAAGCCTTGTCCTTCAAATATAGTACAAAGTGAGAAGAAACCATGAAGTGGACCAACTCGTCCTTTTTTATAGGGCTAAATATGTCAATTCATATCTTAATTCATATATTCATGAAAAGTATGAAAAACTTGATTTTTTTACCAAACATTTTTTTTGACATAACTTCTCAAATTTGTCTAAAAACCATCACTTTGAGATAAACCCAATAGAAATTGTAGGAAATAACATTATTTATGCCATGTAGAAAAAAAATGAATACAACCCCATTTATTTATAAAATCTATTTAATTATTGTTGTTGCTGTAGCCTCTTCAGTTAAAACTTGAGAAAACACTCACACAGAGATTGTCATATTTTCTTCTCCACTTACTATGAAATTAATCATCTTAACTCTAACTTGATAAAACAAATGCTAAGTGACTGAAATGAAAGTTATAGCTTTCTTTTGGAAATAAAAAGTTGAAGATAGTAAGGTTGACTATGGAGCCACAAGTTTACAGCATTTGATCCACAATCCAAAAGTAAGATTATACAAGAAGTTGTTCAAATCCCTATATGGTCATCCTTTTGTTTTTCAATATATCAGAAGATTATCTACATATCTTTAGGATCAATCTTAAAGTCGTATTGTGAAAGTCAAGGTGAAAGACTAGAGAAATCTAAGGGCAATTTGTCAAGCATTACTTCAAGACAGTGGGTTTTTTTATAATAATTTGTGATAATGGCTTTTTCCGAATAGTGCTACTGAAACTTGTGATTTTTCTTATTGTCTCAAATTGATTTTTTGCATCATTCCTGAACCTCAAATTCAATAAAAAGAATTGTGGAGTTGTGAAATGTGGGTTCTTTGTTATAAGGCTATACTAAATCACAATAGACACTTCAATGCTGGGCATGAAATAGGTATGTCACAGACAAGGTGTGAAGCCTTAAGACATGGAGGAGAAATCAAAATACCTATTTCTGACTTTATCATATGACAAGATCCATTTGCTTTAGTATTCACAATAACAAGCAATTAATCTAATTACTTCTATGCAGACTTCTCAAAAATCTTCTAATTTCTACATAGAATTCTATATGAACGTGATTTTTTTGGTGGAGAGGAAATGATTGGTGTATGAAGGCCCATGCTTCCCATACCATCTGTGGGAAACCAACACTGTATCTTTTGTTATTGTAGTGCTCAATTTTTGCCAAGTAAAAGGTCTTAGATTATATAAGATTACGAGTAAAGCTTGAGCACTATGTTGTGACTTGCCATGGTTGATAACATGTCCTTTACAATCCTAGTTCTCAGGTTTTACTAAGCAAGGTTGTAGGTCATGTGTAGTGATTGGTCATCTTTGGCCATCTCTAATGATCTTTGATGATTGGCATTGAATTCTTTGTTGTCCTAGTATTTGAGTTTTGATTAGTTCTATTAAAATTCAAGAATAGAGTATCATACTAATCTTATAATGCACAGAGTTATTTAAGTTGGTGGTAGAGCCAATTCTATCTATGCAAGCTCAACATAAGGCCTACCATGGTTGACACTTCTATACCAATTTGTCACATTGCAAGTCACTAATTCATTGTACAAGTTGGTTCTACTTTAGTAGGAAAAATATTTAAAAGACTACTTAAGAATTCTAATCACTAAAATGGAATAGTGGCTTTAGTTGTTTTGTTGCTCGTATCCTACCTGTAGATTTATTTCATGGTTCCTAGTTGAAGACAATTCATTGGATATGATCATTCTTTTGATAATCTTAAGGAAGTACACGCATTGAATATTCTTCAATCATTTGAGGTATGCTTAATCAATCATCTGGCTCAAACATTGAGTTCTTTTTGGATTTGAGTTATTTCAAGCATAATCATGGTTGCTTCTATACTTTTCGTGCTCAAGCAGTAGCATCCATCACAATATTCTGAATTAAAAAGATCTGAGAAGTTGGTGAAGTTTTTGTATCAAGACCTTTGAGCTAATTAAAAATAGAATCAATAGAAGACTTATCTCTAACTTTGATAAATTTGAGTGAATTTCAAATTATGTAACATATTTTGATGCAACTGATTGATATATATATATATATATATATAATTTTTGTGATATCTTCTTACTTTGATCTTGTCTAATCACTTCATTGCCACTTAAAAGTGTGGTGCACACAATGCAATCTTAGTCCAACTTCTTTGCAATTAACTGCCATGATAGCTATCCCAAGAAGTATGCTCTTCCTTCCTAACCTCATAAATAAAAAATTGTGTTGTTATTAATTTTGGAAATTGTCATGCCATGGATGTTTCTTATTGAATGATTATGTTCATGTGGTTATATCACTTGGATTGCATCATGTTGATTGTGTTACACTCTTCATTGATTATACTTGAAATAATAATAATATGCTTGGATTCTACATGTACTAAAAGGTTTCTTACTCTTTCAGCAATTGATGTACAACAATGATATTGAAATCCATAGCCTCCAGCCAGAGTTTTGAAGCATTAGCATCTGTCTCAAACTTTTTATAGAAAACAATTTGGAGCCGACCCAATTTGAATAAGCTAAAGAATTCTCATGAATATAGTCCACTAGAAATGTTAAAGTACTAAGAAGGAAAGAAAAAAAAATTCAAGCAAAAGAAGTATGGGCACAGTGATCCTTGAATAATAACATCCTTAAGAAAAAATCTAATGGTAAATTTAGATGGATCTCATTTTATTTTCTATTGAAGTTTCTTGCTGAGATGCTCTGTGTGCTTTCAAGTAACTTCAATGATATGAAGTATAACATACAACTTGTTTGGTCTACTTATACATTTTAGAATGTATTATCAATCTACCATGACTCATACTTGTATAGAGAGGTACCTCTCACCATTAAGGTGCGAGCAGCAATTCAATGGTTGCCTTTGTAGTTCATCTTTTTATGGATGCATGATCCTCTTGCATTTGAGTTAATTGTTTATTGATGATTGCTGGCACCATGTCAACTAATTTGATTTTATTATCCATGAAATATAATTCTTTGTCACAGCATGAAGCATCATAAGTCAGCATTAGGTTATCAAGTTTATTATTTGTTTAAGATTAGGATAATTAGATAGCAGAAAAACTCTTGAGACTCATCATGCTCAGGTTTGAGTTTTGAACTGGCTGTATTTTTGTTCTAAATAATATCATTTTGGTGCAGTTCAAGTTTATGGTGACCATGCTTTTGGTATTGTTCTACCTTTTTTCCACATAAGTGCATTGT